ATGTGCCTCCGTACCTCCAAACTTCCACACCTTGGAACCTCCTACAGGACTCAATGTGCTTTTCTCTTTCCTTCTAGTTGAGCCCCATTCAGTAACAATGAACGCTACAAGCACATCTGTGAGAAAGCCGCCCTCACGTTCCAGCTCAATGGCTGACAGTCCAGTTTCTCTCCATATGAGTCTGGGTCCCCAAATTCTCACCCGGAACTGGAGTTCAGAGTAGTTGGGAATTTGTTTCTCCCACCTGATTGAAAAAGACAACAGCGTACCCAGCTGCCAGCCCCTTTCGCATGTGCCTCCGTACCTCCAAACTTCCACACCTTGGAACCTCCTACAGGACTCAATGTGCTTTTCTCTTTCCTTCTAGTTGTAGAATTTCCACTCAGTCAGCCTTCCCATGGTTCTAGATGGTATTCGTTTTGTCTTTTAGTTGTAGTTTTAATGTGGTTGTATGCGGCAGCAAATTCAGGTGTTTACGTATGCCACCATCTTGGTTCTCTCCAATAATCCAAGTCACTAATCTGGTCCAAGACCTGGTTTTCAAGGTGTATTGCCCAAAGGAGGATTTCTAAGATGTCCCTGGGCATTGAAATCTTTAGAAAGTTCCCTTGATGATACCATACACAAGGGGGTAGCATTCCTGTGAAAAGAATTCCTGATGTCGTCCCTGTATGCCATCATCTTGGTTCTCTCCAATAATCCAACTCACTGCTCTGGTCCGAGACCCAGTATTCAAGGTGTGTTGCCCAAAGCAGCATTTCTAAGATGTTCCCTGGGCATTGAAATCTTTAGAAAGTTCCATTGATGATACCATACACAAGAGGGTCGCATTCCTGTGAAAAGAATTCCTGATGTCGTCCCAGGCTTCTGCTCTGAAGATAAGAGCCAAATGGGGATGCAAGAAGGCGGTGGTAAGGCTACTGTGCACTCCACACAGAGCTGTGGGAGACGCCCTGGATACATACACCCCAAGCTTCTACTTGTCCAATTGTGAGCAGTGGCATGGCACCAGGTGTTAACCTGCAGAGTTAGACCCTCAGTTCAGCAACCTCGGTACTTGAGTTGAGCTAAGAGGAGAATTCAGAGTAAAGAACTCAAATTATAAGAGATAATTTATTTAGAAAGACACAGAGGTAGAAGAAGTGAGATGTAGAAGAAATGGGCTCAGGAAACTGGTTACTGAACAAAAGAAGGGCACATGGAGCTTAGGACAAAGAGCAAATATAAGAGCGTTGAGGAAAGAAGAAGTGGGGACAGCCATGGGTGTGTTGCAGAGGGAAATAGCCACACTGAGGCATACTTCTTGAGGTTAGTTATCTGGAGGTCTCAGGGGAGGAGCCCAATAAAATATTTATCAGCTTTTCAGGTTTGCCCTTTTGGGTCAAAGATGATCAGTCAATGCAGTAGATCCTGATGTCAGCGATGTTCTCACTCATCTGATTTTGCTGCTTTTCTGGGCCTGGAGCTGAAACACAACTGAGGCCTAGATGTATTTCATGCCAGTTGGCACCTCATTGTCTTGGGGGCTTAATGCTGAAGGTTATTCTTAGGTCCTCTGGTTTCTTCCCCCTCTAAGGGCATCTAACCCACATTGCTAACAACATGCCAGGGGAGGAAAGGTCAGGGGAGGGCCTGAACCACATGGCCAGTGATATGAAAGGTCAGAGGGTCTAAACTGCAAAACCAGAATATGCTTGGGGAGGAAAGGTTACCAAGGGGGCAAGGTCCCAGTCCAGTTTTGCACATTGCTAGGTACCGTGTGCATGGGGTGGAGTCACTGCAGAAGAAGGAAGAGGCCTCAGCAATTACAGGGAATGCAAATGTAGAGGAAAGAAAAGGAGAGGCAGGAATAACGAGAGGGCAGGGAGGAACCTGGGTACACACCCCGCCCCTGGCCCATGTGACCAGGGAAGTGATCTTGGCCTAGGAGGAGGCTCAGTGCACAGGGAGGAGGAACAGCACATCCCTCTGACTAGGACAGCTGGGCTTGTGTGAGCATTTTTAGAATCCAAGCTCTTCCCACAGAGGGAGGGACAGAGCAGGCAGCAGAAACAATGGAGTCCCACTCAGCCCCTGCACACAGAGGACTTGTACCCTGCCAGTGGCTCCTGCTGGCTGGTAAGAGGGGACAACTACCTGGTGGTGGATGGGAGGAGAGGAGGCACAGGCTC